AATAATAATGAAGGTAACGATACAGTAATAGCTGTTATAGTAATTCTAATAATAAATACCACCACTAATACTATTAATACCAATAATGATAATACAATAAAAACTACAATAATAATAATAATAATAATAATAATAATAATAATAATAATAATAATAATCAATCAATCAAACGGTGTGTAATTTCGATACATTTTTAATAACCATATACCTTTACTGTCCCCGTTTGTGTTCAAAGTGACAGGAAATAGCATACAGTACATCGACCTTTACTTGTGTTTAGTGTTACCAACTTACTATCATAACCTGACCTAACTTAACCTAATATATCTGTAGCTGCACCGTATATTAAATGTATATTGTCGCTTATCCTGAGCAGTGATTGTGTCGTGCTGTTAACTTGAAACCTTGGATAACTATGTAAAATAAGCACCGCCCACATTTTCTCGTGAGGGTTTGTGATTGGCTACTGTTATAGTCGTGTGAACGCATGATTGGCTACCGTTATATAGGCGAGTGAATGAAGCAGAGATCGTCAGTTTACACCACTAATAATTTTATGTTGTCTATTATGGATATTCGTTTGACATTAATGAAAAGGGAAACTAACCTTATCTTCTCTGTGACAAGTCGTAAGACTGGAGAAATTAAAAAGAAATGGTTTTACTGTCTTCTACTGTACTCAAAGCCACGACATCCCTCAACCCAGCCAGCCACAAGCCCACACCAAAGAATGTGCTTTTTTTTTACATTTCTAAAATGGACAGACAATGTTTTGATATTAGTATCTGCATGTGTAACTGTACCATTACGTATAAAATCGTATTACCATATGTACACCTGTAATTGTACTGTATCTATCTGAAATTGGACTGTACCATTTCCTTTTGTTTCTAAAACAATGCAACACGACTATAAAGTAGTTTAATTAGTTTTTAGTATGAACAATATTTAAGAAATATTTAATTGTTGATACAGTATGTGTGTGTGTAATAATAATAACTTTTACAATGGCTGGGACTGGGCTGTTCTTATAGAGATCAGTTCGTGCTAATATGGGCTGGATGCGGTTGTGGTGTCGAACAGCATTTCTCGGACGAGGGATCTCGGGTGATGGTAGGAGCCGGTGTCGAGGATGGTGCAGAAACTTCTCACCAAATTTGCAGATGAGGTCGTGGTGATGTTCAGAGAGAGCCGAGAGGCTCAGTGTGTTGAGCGCTTATTGATATGTGGAGTAGGAAGGGGAGAGAATAATCTTGCATGCCATCTTTTGAACTTTTTTCTATGTGTTTACGTTGTGTGCCATTTAGGAAAGAAGACCAGGTAGGGGAGGCATAGGTGAGCTTGGGAAGTATGAATGTTGAGTAAACACTGAGGAGCTCGGGCGCAAAAAATTCCGAGGGACTTGAGTCGGCGGAGGAGGTGGAGACGGAAACTGGAGGACTCGACAACTTCACTGACGTGTGGTTTCCAATTTAGTTTGTTGTCTATGGTGACGCCGAGGAGCTTAGTGGAATCTACAACCTGGAGTGTGTTGGGGCCTAAAGTAATGGAAGGGGGTGGGACAACGTCGGAGGAGAGGTTGATGTGCATAACCATGATCTTGGGGACAACGTCGGAGGAGAGGTTGATGTGCATAACCATGATCTAGGTATGGTTGATGGGTAACGCGGTTGTTGGTGGCCCAGTTTTGGAGACTGTTCAATAAATCCTGAAGGGCGGTATAGTCGGGAGAAGAATTGTTGATACTGATCCCAATGGTAGAGTCGTCGACATATTTCCAGCGAGCAGAGGTTTCTCTTAGGGCAGCATTGATAAGCATAAGGAGCATAGTGGTCCCATCTTGGTGCCTTGGGGGACGCCACAGGTGAGTGACTGAAAGGTGGAGACAGCCCCTCGGAAGCGTACAACTTGGCGTCGGTTACTGAGAAGGTTTGTAAGCCATGGAAAAAAGACTTCTTATAAACCCGAGATCGATAGCTTTGTTGATGATTAAATTGTGGTCGACTTGGTCAACTGCCTTGGTGAAGTCAATGAAGGCGACAGCTACAGATGTTTTTCGTTTTTCCAGATGGCAGTATATGCAGTCGAGAAAGCTGAAAAGACGGTAAGTGGTGGAGGAAGTTTTCATATTACCAAATTGCTGAGGATCTACGGCGCCTTTAATATCAGCATTAGCCCAGTCAAACACAAAACTTTCACAGATTAAGCTGGGTATTGGGGTGATTGTAAAGGGTCGTAGCTGATCTAAGGATTGTGGGCTGGTAGACTTGGGCACTGGTGACACATATGAAGTCTTCCAGTCAGCTGGGCATCTGGCTTGACTGAGGGAAGCATTGATGATGGTGCAGAAAGTTTAGCTAGCTCTGGTGAGAACTCCTTAAAGAGTTTCATTGGTAAGTTATTATAAATTATTTTTTTGGAAATAGTTAATTTTACCGCCACACCACCCCGTTAAGTACAGTACTGCGGTGACCCTCAGGACCCATTTAGTTTAAAACTCGGGTTTAAACACGACGACCCTCTTCAAGGGAAGATGTTTAATAATACGGGCGTCTGTCTCTCTGTTGCATAAGTCTTTTGATCCGAGGTGCGATCCAGGGCAAGTCAGCTGGGTGAGATCTGACGGAATTCTCGGGGAAGAAGTGGTGGTGAGCTTCCGTGGTGGTGTTGGTATAATTTATCCATGTGGTGTCCACGTCATCCACACTAAGTACTTCAGTGCAGCGATGGTGAACTATCCACTGCCCGAAGAGACGCACTGCAGTCAGTAATCGGCCTGTAGGTCTTGATGTAGGGTCTCTGTACTTGAGTAGGAGTGGCAGCTGGGGACCAGAGCACTGATAGGTGTGTGCTACACCCGATAGGAGGCATTGGTTGAGGTGGTTGGTACTGGTCCACTAAGGTGGTCAAGATAAGGTCAAGGGAATTTTGACCGTGTGTGGGGAAGTTCACAACTTGTGATAGTGACAGCTGGTCCTGGATATCAGTGGTGTCAATTTCATTAGAATCCCCGCATAACACTAACTTGACACATGTGTGTGTGTGTGTGTGTGTGTGTGTGTGCGTCTAAAAATCAGTGGCATGCCAACTTTGTACCTCTGAACTCAAAACATATACAAAAATTCAGATGTTGGGATATATATATATATTTGTAAAAAAGTTAGTTAAGATGTTCAAAGTTGGCTTGCCATAGATTCTTCCCCCTCACACACACACACACACACACACACGATAATCCTATGGATGGGAGAATTAAGTGAAAACTGCATTACAAACCTTGTTATATATACTCTCCTAAAGACCTTAGTTGTTGAAGCTCAGTAACAACAAGATAGAGATATGGATAGACGGAAATATGAATAGATTGTACAGAGAGACGGAAGTAATGATAGTAAGGACGGACAGCCGAAAAGTACTGTAAAGATAGTTACAAATAGACGGACGGAAATGAGGGTGGAGATACAGACGGAAGCAATCACAAAGGTACAGACGAACGGACAGACAGATGGATATGGTTTTATAGATGTAATGTATACATTTGGACGGAACTGCCAACGAACTGACGAAAGTGCAGATACAACTGTCCTCCCTAACGTGAAGATTAATATAACAGAAGAGTCTCAGTGCAATTTCGGCGACATTTTAATTCATAAATATTAGAGGTCGAGAAGTAAGTACATACAGTAATTATATATAAGCATAAAGGGCAGGCACAGTAGTTAGGAAGACTAGTTTACCTAAAGCGGACGAGACCTACCTGAAGATTAGCCTCCCTCCCACCTTATTTCACCTGATCATTAAACACCCAAACGCTACCTGGGGGTTAGGTTATAGGTTAGATCAGAGTTAGGGTGGTTAAGTTAGGTTAGGTTAGGTTAGGTTATAGGTTAGATCAGAGTTAGGGTGGTTAAGTTAGGTTAGGTTAGGTTATAGGTTAGATCAGAGTTAGGGTGGTTAATCTCAAAGTTAAAAAGCTGGGGCTAATCTTTAGGTGACAATAATTATTATCAGACAAGTCTACACAGAGGACCGTCATAACATTCACTCAGCCTTCAGCTGTTGTCAACGACACTTCACCCGTGTTTAACGAGCCGGAGGACCTCGTGTACATTAATCATTACTCGCCAAATAAACGAGAAAGTGGGAGAAAATCAAGTTGTTGAGCGCTGCGTTAATTGACGGTGTTGGCTGTGTTGATGCTGTGATCAGTAGCCTGCTGAGTGCCCTCTCTAATTGGCACCTTCACCGCCTCCCACTTAATATCACTCATCTCCCTTATACATCGGCCATCTTATTCTATTACTTTGCTTTTAATATAATTTGTTCCTATCACAAATAAGCATACCTTTACTGTATCTAAACATGTAAACAACATATATCAAATAAATACACTGATTATAATCATCCGAGTCCTCAAACGAACTCTTAATGGAGATAAATACTGAACTTTAAAGATAATGATTGTATGATAAGAGAAAATGTTGTAACTCTGTGATCGCGTGTTGAGAACCTCGGTGGGCAGCCCATCATCAAGGTGGGCGGAACCAAAGCTCCTGGGCTCCGCCCGCTGACTTATCATCCTGCCGTAGCTCCTCCCACACCCTCCGTCTCTCCAATGAGAGGCAGTGCCGTCAGCAGAGTGCCGAGGGGAAAGCCAATCGCAGAGTGAGGAAACAAAGAGCCTTAAATTCGGAAGCCAGTGTGGGCGGGACCATCGACGATTGACAAATCTTTTTTTTCTTCTTTTTTTAGCATCACTGAAATGATTTTAACTCAACAATGTCACAAAGAGGGACTTGGTGCAAGACGGATTCATAATATATGCGTTATATTGAAAAGATTTATGGTGGAAATTAAGGAAGATTTTGATGTTTTTTAAGTTAAGTGTTGCCGTCTTGCTGGGGTGTATTTTTTGAGTTAGTGTTGCCGTCTTGGTGGTTGAGGGGAGGTCCCGGGAGGCCGACGACGAGGGTAGTTGAGCAGTCAATCCTCAACTAGTGGAAGCGCGGGGTGACGAGGCCTCGCTGTCACCACCAGTCCCCTCACTCAACCCCTCACTCACTCTCACTCAGCTGCCTCTCACTCTCACTCAACCCCTCACTCTCCCCTCAACGCCTCGTACTATACAACCCATTTTTTTTTTAATTCTTGTTCTTCCTTTATGTGATACTTGCGCGTTCGTCAAGCAAGAGAGCGCCGCCCACACACCCGCAGTCGACAGCAGGTGTGGGCGGGCAGTTGTGGGCTAGAAGGTGTAGGCTAGCAGGTGTGACTAGCAGGTGTGACTAGCAGCGGTGGGCTAGCACGAGGTGAATCAGCAGGTGTGGGCGGCAGGTATGGAGGCTCAGTGTTACCCGAGCGGCGTGGGCAACACATATGGGCAAGAGAGGGGAGATGTCTCCATGATGACAGGCGTGGGCGGCCAGGGGGCGGCGACCCACGGGCCTCTGGTGACCGCCCACGGTCTAGCCGCTCGTTCCTCCGACTGCTGCTACGAGTGGGCGGCCGCCGCTCTCCCCGCCCACTATACTACCACGCCCATGAAAGAAATGGAAGGTAAGTCTCAGAGCCTAGTTATAATAATGGAACACATCCCCGCAGTATACATGGTGAGCGAGCAACAATCTCAGTGTAAACAATGCATAGACTCGTATATTTTACATGCGTATGATGTATGATGTATATTGTGTAGTATGTAAGATGTATGGGTACTAAGGTGAATGATAATATAGCAGAATTTTACATAAGATAAAAATATATCCGTAATCCCCCTCCCCGTATATATTCCCTGGTTCAAATGCAATATAATATCTTCACGAGTGCCATATCGTTTTGAAGGTGTCATATCGATTTAAAGTGTCATATCGTTTCAAAGTGTTATATCGTTTCAAAGTGCCATATTGTTTTGAAGGTGTCATATTATTTTGAAGGTGACATAATTTTGAAGGTGTGAAATAATTTTGAAGGTGTGAAATAATTTTGAAGGTGTGACATAATTTTGAAGGTGTGACATAATTTAGAAGGTCCGGTCGATTTCAGATCACTCAATCTACCAAAAAAAAAACGTTTATTTTTTGGTAATTTCATGTCTTAGTAAATAATTCAAAACAATTAAGGATCGCGGTATACAGAGCTCTATAGTATAAAGTTGAGGTTAGGTTAAACTTAATATTGGGTTAAGTTTGTTTAATCTGGATTGGTTAATTTAAACTCGGATTGGAGTAGATTAGGAAGTTATATTTATTAAGGTTTGGTTAAATTCAGGAAACTTTGCCAAAATTCGGACAATTTTATTATTTTTATTTTATTTATTTTTTTTTTTATATTGACGACTGACCCAGCGACCAGTTATTTGTTTTGGTGTTAGTTTTCTTAATATATACTGCATATATATTTTAAAGGGGTGTATTTAATGTATAATTTTATGCCGATTTCAAATATTTATTTTTTTCCTGAAGTTAATGGTTCAAAAGATACACGCATAATTACGGTATACAATTACACGCCTTCACATTGCACCAACACAATACAAACAATACGTTATTAATCGCGATAAATAACAAAAATCTTGTTTAAATAAATCAACTGAATCTGATCTAACCTAACCTGACTTATTGACTGCCTATTGTTTTTGTGTGGTTGTGTTCATTATTTAAAGGAGAACTAAACTAACCTAACCTAACCTAACTTAACGCAACAAAAAAAATTACATAATTCATTGACGGTTTATTTCCGGAAAAAAGAAAGAAAAAGAATTACATATATGAAATCAGCAGAAATTTCTACATTTAATAGTTAACTTTAAAAAAATCAATACAGTCCGAATTTGGGAAAAGATCCAAATTCAGATTAGGTTAAGACAGGTTTGTTTATTTTGGTCAGGTTAAATTACGTTAGAGTTAAGTTAGGTTCAATTTGGTTAGGCTAGAATAAGTTGGGATTATGTTATAGGTTACGTTTAAATAAGTTCGGTTGGGTTAAATTCGGATTAGGTTAGGTTAAGTCAGGTTAGGTTAGGTGGTGATTGGCGGTGCTAGGTTAGGTGGTGGTGGTGGTGTTAGGTTAGGTGGTGATGGTGGTGTTAGGTTAGGTGGTGATGGTGGTGTTAGGTTAGGTGGTGATTGGCGGTGCTAGGTTAGGTGGTGGTGGTGGTGGTGTTAGGTTAGGTGGTGATGGTGGTGTGGTGGTGTTAGGTTAGGTGGTGATGGTGGTGTTAGGTTAGGTGGTGATGGTGGTGTTAGGTTAGGTGGTGATGGTGCTGGGTTAGGTGGTGGTGGTGGTGGTGTTAGGTTAGGTGGTGATGGTGGTGTTAGGTTAGGTGGTGATGGTGGTGTTAGGGGTGATGGTGGTGTTTGGTTGGGTGGTGATGGTGGTGTTAGGTGGTGATGGTGGTGTTAGGTTAGGTGGTGATGGTGGTGTTAGGTTAGGTGGTGATGGTGGTGTTAGGTTGGGTGGTGATGGTGGTGTTAGGTTAGGGGTGGTGGTGTTAGGTTAGGTGGTGGTGTTAGGTGGTGATGGTGGTGTTAGGTTAGGTGGTGATGGTGGTGTTAGGTTAGGTGGTGGTAGGTTAGGGTGGTGGTGAGGTGGTGGTGATGGTGGTGTTAGGTTGGGTGGTGATGGTGGTGTTAGGTTAGGTGATGGTGGTGTTAGGTTGGTGGTGATGGTGGTGTTGGGTTAGGTGGTGATGGTGGTGATGGTGGTGTAGGTGGTGATGGTGGTGTTAGGTTAGGTGATGGTGGTGCTAGGTTAGGTGGTGATGGTGGTGTTTGGTAGGTGTGATGGGTGGTGTTAGGTGGTGATGGTGGTGATGGTGGTGTTAGGTTGGGTGGTGATGGTGGTGTAGGTTAGGTGGTGATGGTGGTGTTAGGTTAGGTGGTCATGGTGGTGTTAGGTTAGGGTGGTGGTGGTGTTAGGTTAGGTGGTGATGGTGGTGTTAGGTTAGGTGGTGATGGTGTTGTTAGGTGGTGGTGTTAGGTTAGGTGGTGGTGTTAGGTTAGGTGGTGATGGTGGTGTTGGGTGGGTGATGGTGGTGTTAGGTTGGGTGGTGATGGTGGTGTTAGGGTTAGGTGGTGATGGTGGTGTTAGGTTAGGTGGTGATGGTGGTGTTAGGTTAGGTGGTGATGGTGGTGTTAGGTTAGGTGGTGGTGGTGGTGTTTGGTTAGGTGGTGATGGTGGTGTTAGGTTAGGTGGTGATGGTGGTGTTAGGTTAGGTTAGGTGGTCATGGTGTTTGGTCAGGTGAGGTTAGGTGGTCATGGTGTCAAGTTAAGTTAGGTCAGGTGGTCATGGTGTTAGGTTGAAATAACTTAGGTGAAGTATGAGTGCTTAATCAGCAGGTGCAATTTGCTTGGGGTGATAATCTTTATATGATCCGATTTACCTAACCTACCCAAGCATAATCTAGCCAACCTTAGCCTAACCTAACCAAATCTAACCGAACTCAACTCACCAACTTAAATTGCTACCACAAATATAACAATAGAGTAAGAACCCCACTGAGATTCTACAGCTCAGTTTAGGCCAACGTACTGCAGAATGGATATCTTATCCCTAGAAAGCATACAGATGAGGATGACAAGCCTAATCCCAGGCATTAGGAACCTTGAGTACAGAGACAGATTATAGCATCTAAATCTGCACTCCCTCGAGAGACTTAGAGTGAGGGGTGATATGGTGGAGGTGTATAAATGGAAGTCAGGGCTAAGTAAAGGTGATATAACAAAGGTACTCAAACTATCCAACCAGGAGAGAACTCGTACCAATGGTTTTAAATTAGACAAATTTTGATTAGGCGCGAGGTAGGTAAACATTAGTTTGGAAATACAGTACAGTAGTGGATGAGTAGAACAAGTTACCAAACATCATCATTAACTCGAACACGCTGGAAAGCTTCAAACATAGGGTGGATGAATATATGAGCGATAGGGGTTGGGTGTAAACAGGACTGTCCAGTAGGGGCCAATTGGCCCGCTGTAGTTTCCTCCATACTTATGTTCTTGTAGATAACGAAGGGTGGTGGTGGACGAGTGGAACAAGCTTAACAACTTTGTAGTAAGTGCGGGAACTCTGGAAAGTTTCAAAAGGAGGCTAGATAGATTCATGGATGATAGAGAGTGGTAGTAACTCTCGACAGGAGCTGCCATGCACAGGCCAACCGGCCTATTGCAGACTCCTTATTTTCTTATGTTCATATAACTGAAAGTCAGATCCACATGATTTTCCTCTTAACTGGTGACGTAACACTCCACCTCTTAACTGGTGACGTTAAACTCCACCTCTTAACTGGTGACGTAACACTTCACCTCTTAACTGGTGACGTAACACTCCACCTCTTAACTGGTGACGTTAAACTCCACCTCTTAACCGGTGACGTAACACTCCACCTCTTAACTGGTAACGTAACACTCCACCTCTTAACTGGTGACGTAACACTCCACCGCTTAACAGGGTGACGTAACACTCCACTTCTTAACTGGTGACGTAACACTCCACCTCTTAACTGGTGACGTAACACTCCACCTCTTAACTGGTGAAGTAACACTCCACTTCTTAACTGGTGACGTAACACTCCACCTCTTAACTGGTGACGTAACACTCCACTTCTTAACTGGTGACGTAACACTCCACCACTTAACTGGTGACGTAACACTCCACCTCTTAACTGGTGACGTGGTGACGTAACACTCCAACTGGTGACGTAACTTAACTGGTGACGTAACACTCCCTCTTAACTGGTGACGTAACTTAACGTAACACTCCACCTCTTAACTGGACGTAACACTCCACCTCTTAACTGGTGACGTAACACTCCACCTTAACTGGTGACGTAACACTCCACTTAACTGGTGACGTAACACTCCACTGGTGACGTAACACTCCACCTCTTAACTGGTGACGTAACACTCCGTAACACTCTCTTAACTGGTGACGTAACACTCCTGGTGACCTCTTAACTGGTGACGTAACACTGGTGACGTAACACTCCACTTCTTAACTGGTGACGTAACACTCCACTGACGTAACACTCCACCTCTTAACTGGTGACGTAACACACCACCTCTTAACTGGTGACGTAACACTCCACCTCTTAACTGGTGACGTAACACTCCACCTCTTAACTGGTGACGTAACACTCCACCTCTTAACTGGTGACGTAACACACCACCTCTTAACTGGTGACGTAACACTCCACCTCTTAACTGGTGACGTAACACTCCACCTCTTAACTGGTGACGTAACACTCCACTTCTTAACTGGTGACGTAACACTCCACCTCTTAACTGGTGACGTAACACTCCACCTCTTAACTGGTGACGTAACACTCCACCGCTTAACTGGTGACCAGTCACAACCTTGACCATTAGCGATGTGTACAGTCTTGTTGGTATATATTTAAACATTTACTGTGTATATATTGTATTTTGACACGGACATTTTTTACTTCCAAGAATTTTGAAAGATCTAATTTAGATTTAATGAACCTCGTAAATAAACTATTACATAAAAAAATATCAAGTAATAATGCAATGTTTACGAGGAAACGGTGAATATTACACAT